TGTGCTTAATTTCACTTGTCACAGTGATAGTTGCTCATTATATAGAAGACCATAGATAGAAGACCAGGAGCTGATGAGTGTAGAGAAAAACTACTTGACTTATCCAAAATATCAGTCATCTACATTACAAAGAAAAGTCAATGAAGCTAAAGCACCCATCCCTGAACTACGAGAAAATGAGGGGTGATATGATCACAGCACATCAAATTCTGTATGGAACAGCTCAAAGAAAGACCAGTAAGCAGCCATCCCCTAAAATTAGTTTAAACACAGACATTGCAAGTTTCAAGACATCACAGCTTTAGCAGCAAAGTGATCAAGAAATGGAGCAGACTCTGACAGGCACCACCAGCGACTGAGCCAAAAGGTGCAAGATACAGGACAAGGGGTGCAAGATACAAGACAATGCATATTGCTTATCACTTGATTTGTGTAAGCCAGTTTCAACAAGCTTACAGAAATGATTGATAACGCTGATGAATTTTTTCAACAGACTGGCTTGCCCCCAGTGCAGGTATGCTTTGTATATATGACTCATGGCTATTGTCAACCAAGGATATTGTTAAAAGACTCCAGGATGCATTTCAAAACTGATGAAACAGTTGTTTCCCCATCCTGGAGCCAACTCACATGACCCAAATGAATTTGGACTAATACAGCTTAGCTGCAGTCCTGAATACAAATCAATGAAGGTGTTCTTTGATCATTTTCACTACATTACTATGACTATAAGGAGCCTACCACAATAAGAGCAATGCACACTATGTTTAAATGCACATCAGGATGCCAAAACTACCCTGCATGACGTAACCTTGTCTTGCAAGCAGCACATACTAATGTACATGCCACATCATAATATCATTCCAAGATGTTAGCACATCCCTTCCAAATGGTACCATTGAGTCTAGATGACCACAGTTGGTGGAACAACACGAGACCATCAACCTGCTTAAGTTTTGTACCTATCAACATCTGTGCAAGCTATCAAACTATTGCTAAAATATGCAATAACTTAATAGCTTGCACAGATGTTGTATATCGTGTGCGTGAGTGCATGTACGTGCCACATGACCATACTAACCTGCACGTTGCGCACTTTTCTCCCATCGATGGCCGACAGAAGCCCCTTCTCCTGAACAATGGCCAGCATCACCCAGTTGGAAACGAACGCCCTGACCGCCAGCCCATTAAAACCAACTGTCTTAGCTAGATACATCGATGATTATGCTGGGGTATGGACGCACGGACAGCGTGCTCTTGAAGAGTTTTTAGAGTTCATGAACAACCAGCATCCAACTCTAGCTTTTACGATGGAGCATATGGGGGCGGAAAGTGGGTCCCATATCTGAATACGTCAGTAACGGTGGAAAGGAGGAACAACTGCGCAACGTTAGAAGGGGAGCTCTTTATCAAGCCAACCAACTCTGGTATAATTCTGCACTGCGAGTCTGCGTATCCAACATCCACTAAGCACAACATAATTCGTAGCACATTCCATAGGGCTCTAAACAACTCATCAGGTAGTGAAAAGTAAAGAAAGAGCATAAACAAAATATGGACTTTGCTGTTTCGCAATGGATATTCTCCGTGACTTTTAGGTACAATGTTGGAAGAAACAAAAACGTATAGAGCGCGTGGAGAGATGGGTGGTGGGAGGCGGGAACACGTCCTATCGGATGACGGATTCTTAACGCTACCTTGCATAGATGAGCATTTGCTTTGGAAAAATAAACACATCGTAAAAAATCAAAACTGTGAGTACGCACAGCTTGGAAGAACGACAGTAAGCTAAAAAAGCATCTGGTGAAATCTTCCATCTCGAAGCCAAAGTTTTCGGGTAGCAATAATTTTCATTTATGCAAGTCTGGGTTTCGAGGGGTTTGCACTTTAAAAAACGTGATTTACGATAACAAGTGTAAACTATGTGAAAAACATGGCAGGGGCATATTCTATGACGGGGAGTCCATGCTCCCTATTCGTTTGAGACATAATGAACACCTGCGAGACTCTAAAAATAAAACATGGAACACCATTTTCGGTGACCAATTTTTGGAAAAACACGCTCGGGCTAAAATTGACGGAGGTATGGACCATATGCCCCTTTTAGAGCTCAAAGTCATCTACAGAGCACAGGACCACCTAGACAGGAAAATAAGTGGATCTGCTCTTATAAAAAGTAGACGACCAAATCTTGACGTACATGGCTCATCATGGCCGATTATGCAATCCGATCAATTGAAATCGCTTGCACATATAATTGGTGCGCGATGTGTGATGCCTATTCACTTCAAATCGCTTGCATGTTTGGATGAAGTGTGATGCGTGGTGCCTGTTGGCTTAAATTCATTTGCATGTACACGTATTTTCGTGTATCCTAGTTCTCAGATGTGCACTGTATCGTGGTAATGGATGGCAATCGCTCTTATTGTAACCCCTGAAAGGTAGGTGTCCTGTAAAAACCTTGACTTGCTGCTTTAAAAAACTCTGAGAATCGAAGAAGATCATTTGCAGGTAATTCTTAATTCACTTCCGCTCTTGTTTCAATAAAGGCATGTTGCCGAAATATCAACCAATCTATTTCTCCACTCCCCTGGTTTTTCCGACCAATAAGTATGTTATATCTTATTTATGGGCACTAAGCAGATCTACCGCATACAAATGTCAATGCCAAAAGACTGCTCAGTGAGTTCGATAAAATCACGTGCAGACTCTCTTCGAACAGCACCTTTTCGACCACAAAGCGTCTTAATGATGGCTACAAGCTCCGCCATATAAAAGGACACACGGACTGGCGACGTAAATGATCGCGTGTCGTGGCTACAAACAAATGCGAAACCAACGGCCGTGGCCGTTTTGGAACCGCCTGTCGACCGGGGAGTTTTTGCGAGATGCGGCTCACCTGCGAGATCCGTGACCAGTAAGCATTTCGTTGTGAATGCTATCTGGGCTTTCTGACACGCTCCGTTGAGTAGCAATAGCCGCCTCAAGGTCATTCATGGGGAATGGCAGATTGCAGCTGAGCTCTTCGGACGCGGCGGAATTTACATCGTCTCAGAGTGAGCTTCGTGGCGCAAAAACCGCAGATTGTTGGTCCCAGCTCGGCAGCGTTCCGCCAAATCCTCAGCGGTGGCATCGGCTGCATCTTCGGGGTGCACGGCATCTTGACCATGCACGTGCGGCATTGTCCGCGGAGCGGAAGAAAACCAGTCTGACGTCGCCATCTTGACCATCCACACACACCATTGTCAGCGAGGTGGAAGAAAACCGGCCTGACAGGCGTTTGACCTGTGACCCCAACTCTGATGTCGGGGCGAGCCGGTCAACTTTACCGACGCATTCTCTCCAGGAAACACGTTTCGTATTCCGAGTGGTGCGTCTCGCTGCCGCTCTCGCTTTCCGGAAGGCAATCCGGTTGACCGCAGCACTGCTACGATCGAACGCGCTCAAAGGTACGTCGGCATGCGCAATGGCAGTACGATATCCCTCAGTCCACCATGAAGCTGGGGTGCGACGATGTGGTCCGGTGGTTTTTGGAGTGCGGTGATTGGCGACACTCAGGAGCAGAGACGTGGGGATGTTAGCAGCTACAGGCTCCGTCAGTGGGTCAGCTGGTAGCAGAGCGTTAACTCGGTGTTCAAACCAGTCGACTGATGTTAGATCTCATATCTGCGACAGCGGCCCAAGAATAGATGCATCCTGGAAGCTAAGCCACACTGGGAAATGCCACAACCGATGGGATCGTTGCCAACCGCCCATGATCTACGCCGCGTAAGCTGTGGGCTCGTAAGGCTCAAGATAATACCAGAAGCTTGACCAGAAGGCAGCATTACATGCACCCGAGTTTTGTTGTTTAAGAGACACGGCGACTTATGCTGTACAAACTGTTCACAGAGCCGTCCACGAGAGTTATTGTGAGCGCAGCCCCATACTGTGCGGCGCGCGTTAAAGTCGTCTAAAATAATTAAAGGCGGGAGTAGTCCAAACACCAAACGGCTAAGCTCAACCAGGGGAAAAGCACTGCCAGGCGACATTTACAATGGACACACCGTGACAGGCCTGTGGTTAAAACGGACCGGAGTTGCTGAGGCGTGGAGAGGGGTGTGGAGCACCAACTGATGGACTGACACACTGTGTTGAATAGCTAAATGAGCACAGCGGCACGCAACTGCGTTCAGTGACCCATATTTGCGGCACACCGAGTAGCCTTTCATTGTGCATTGAGCGTCCGGCTGAAGTTTCGTTTCTTGAAGATAGATTGTCACAGGAAGCCGCTGGTTCACGAGAACACGAAGGTCATGTGTATTAGCTCAGGTGCCCCTACAGTTTCATTGTAAAACATGTGCCACGGAAGTAAAAATGGAGCATGACTTCCGTCCTGTCGTTCCACTATTGAAAGCGTCTGCAGAGCGGCGCATTAACGGTTAAGGCAACGTTAAAATATAACGATCACCATATGTGAAAACTAGCCTGCAGCCGTCGACGAACTCAGTCCGCCTAATGGGTCTGACCCATCCGAGCCTGAGCGGATCCTTGGTCGGAGCCCAGGGCTACCGCCGTCTGATGAGACGGATCCAACCGCTCCGCGCTTCTTGCGGCGTCGCGTTCTGCACAGGGATACCGATTAGAAAGCGATGACCCTGGGTGGCAGCGGAGGGAGCGGGGACCCATCGCTGGGGGGAGCCTCCATCCGTCGTCTGGGAGGTGGGACTTCCTCCCCGTAGAAGCAGGCCCACGATCGCACCCGACAGCCGGCTGGCTGCGTTGACCTTCTGCCCGAACAGGCGGGCGCGCCTGGCCTTCCGAGCACGCATTTAGCCTTATGACGCTCCACATTGTCCAGTACCCTTCCCAGTGCCTCATTCAATGTCGGCACTGAACCTCTTGAGGTAGAGTCGGCTTTGGAACCCGTGCCCGCGTCGTCATTTGCGGGGAACACGGGAGGCCCGGTCTGAGCGGATTACGGTCCACTCGCCGTCTCACGATCGTGGGGGCTGGGGCGGTCATGCAGCGGCTGGCGGCTTAGCCCGCGCCTCGGAGGGGGCGCGGGCTGTCGACGAGACAGGCAGGACAACGTGGCCAATTTGATGGCTGGCGTATGAGACACCGGCAAGACCGCGACACCAAACGGGATTGGATCAGGTGTGCTGCGGTCATCTGATTCAACGAAGCTTGACGCGTGACAGAAGCCTCAAGTGCTGTGGCGTATGGTAGTTTTGGGTGACTTACTTTATGTAAGTCTCTCGCTGCACGAAAAGATGCGTTCTTTGTAGCTTTCAGGGCTGCAATTTCCTTCTCTCCAGCATAGGTTGGGCATCTGCGGTCAAAAGCTGTCTTTGTACGGTCATGAAGAAGTTGTGGGCATGTACGGTCATGTGCGGAGCCTGTTGGTTGCCACAGGTCACGCACCACGGCCTGTTCGCAGCCGCGCGCGTGCTCCCGCGAGACACAATTGCCACAGGCTGGCTGGTTGCGACACGAATATTTTGTGTGACCGAACATCTGGCACTTGAAACATTTCATCGTGTTTGGAGCAAAAGGCGTATCTTTACCTTAACATGAAACACCCTGGTCTCAGATGGTAAGTCAGGGGGTTAAAAGTGAGTACGATGTTGTTTGTGGGAGCAAGATCGGCGTCCCTGCGCACCTTAATGCGGCGGACATCTGTCACTCCAAAATCAGCGAGCCCGTCTGCAATTTTGACATCACCGACATCTTTGTTTATCACTGTTTATCCCCCACCCACGTGTTATGCTTCATAAAAACCTGCATGCATGAGGTGGGACGGCCCTTATTTATGCACGGCCACAGAAAAACAGCGTGACCTTCGACGGTACCGTGGGCTTGTCGACCTGGAGCACGGCTCCTCCCTCACTTGCTTTGCAGCATTGCACCATTAGCTTGTTTTGAGTTGCGGTGGAGGCCAAAACAATTTCCAGTGAAACCCAGGGACGCCGTAGAGGACGGGGAAGGGGACGGTGACGAAAGAAAGAGGAGTAAACTCCTTTCGGTCAACGCCACGCCAGTGGCGTTGACCAAACGTTTCAGTCAACGTTTCAGTCAACGCCAAAGCTAAAAGTACCTGCTTTTAGAATCGGCTTTTAAACGTGCGATGCTCTGGCATCTGCGTCGCATCAACTTTTGTGAAAGGGGCGGCTTACGAATAATCTTATACGAAGCAAACACCAAATGAACTCAGGGCGCCCTTGCCCGCGGCTGTTGCTAGAACGATAAAAACGATAGGGAAATGGCAGCAGCCAGCGAGCTGCTGTGAGTTTTTTGCGCCACTATTTGTATTATCTTGGCAGCACATTAATTAGTGAATGGATCAGATATGACGGTCGCGCAGCACCCGCGACATTTCATTTGGCGCGGTGGAGTAGACGTTTGAAGTGCCTTATATCCTCAGCTAGGTGTTCTTTACCTTTCGCCCGACAATGTTTTGCGGAGGGAAGGGCGCCGGCTCAGGTGTGTAATGAGGATCGGCTAATCAGCTGACGAAACGTTGCTGCCAGGCCGAGTAAATCGCCCCAATGACAAGTTTTGTGTTGCCCATGACGTCACTGGTAGACATGTGGAGATTGGACTTTTTTTACTTCTCACATCACATGGATTCACAAACTACTTATGATGACAACATTAGAAACTAAGCAGGTATTCGTAATAACACGGGTCCTGGATCCTACTGATGGCGCCACTGGGACGGACGAATCAGTCATCAGTTGAAAACTTTCCGCGGGACACGTTTTTCGGCTGTGTTTTCCCGCTGCTCGCGACGTTCGGGGAGGCTGTTACGGTGTACGTGCATCTACCTACGTACTCGTGGTTTACATTATTATGGTGGTGCCACTTGAAAAAATGAAGTAAAAGATGAGCCGCGTTTTACCTGCTCCTCATGACGTCACGTGACACGAGTTATGGTCTTCGCTTCGTCTCACTAGCGAACCTGATAATGGCGGAAAACCACCTTTCCCAGCAGACTTCCTCAAGAAACTTCTACAAGACGGTCCAAGTGATACATGAACAAACCGCATTCAAACATGTCCACGCTGAGTTGCCAATGGGGCCGGAGAAAGGCATGAACTGACTCAACGTTTTCGGCTACCGGCATTATCTGTCTCTAACAAACATTCCAAAATAGCGTCCATCGGTTCATTCTGTTCAATGATTCAAGTAATTCATGTTATTTGGATCATAAGTCTACTTACTAACAGCAACATACGGGGAATATTTTTAGATTTTCAATTATCACCTTAATTCCTAAAAGCCTGTGAAATAAGTGATGTCTATATGCTGAATGTCATGCTAGTGCCAGGCTAGCACGGTGTATGATTCATTCCCTCTTTTCAATCTGAAAGGGCATTTGCTGCAAAACTTTGCCACTGAATTTGCATTTCAAGATTGAATGAGATCGCAGCTCATGTAACAAGCACTGCTTAGTGTTTAGCCTGCAAAAATCCAGCCACTGTGTGAGATGTCAATATGATGGTGTGCTGAATCTGAGGCACGTGTGTCACAGTCTAGCTCGGCCAAGTTGTACTAAATTTTCAACTGTTTCCTTTTTGAAAACCAGTCTTGGTGTGTCCCACTTGCTTCAAATTTCCTTAGCAACATCAATTCTTTGAAACGTTATGACTATATATGGTGAATAACACACTGGTGGATGGGTGTCAATTGTGGACAATCTCAAAACTGCAAGGCTTGTGGTGTGCATGCATTGAAGTTTGTTGCCGTGATATCACTGCCATCTCAGACTTGTATAGTATTATGGGCATTTTTTGCAGTCAGTGAATTATGTACTGATCCCGCACATCTACCAACCCACAAGGTTCAAATGAGACTTCTAAAAACTACGATTTCACCCATACTGCAAATTTGCTCATAAGCTGATTTCATCAATGCTGTCTATCCCTTAAAAGCAACGATCACATGGTTCCCAGACTGAGAGAAGTGCAGCAGTCATTTCATAACCCCACCTAGAATTGCACTTTTGCAGGCAAACAAGGAGCCAACCATACCTGATTTCGTGATGCAAAGATATAAAATAAAGCCAGCCTAGATTCCGGAACTGGTTGAGCTTAGTGCACCACCGTTCTCCTTCGCCCACCCAATTGAAATAGACTACCGGGAGCGCTGACGGTGTGCTACTGACGGCACGATGCCGATGGAATTCCAAATGTGTCTTATGCGCGTTGATCTACGCCGTAATCTGGTATCCCAAGTTGGCAGTAATCACCAATGTCATGAAAAGAAGTAACCAGTAATGCAACATTATTTTGGCCGCGTTCGACCGCGTTCGATCGGTCGTCAGCACGTTTGTCAGCACCAATTACGTCCCAGTATTCTCCCTATGTCACGTCACGTGATCCCCAAGTCACACGACCTGTTACGTCACGCGTCGGCCGACGATGATGCCAGGAATTTTTGTCGGCTTGGCCCCGTTTGATCTGTCCTAGGCACGATTGTCAGCTGGAAAGCTGACGTCACGCGTGCTGACAGCGCGTTCGCTGTGTGGGCTGGCAGCAAAGTTTTTAAATTTTACTCTCCATTTTTATTTTACCTTTTACTTCAGTCCACACACTAACTTTGGCTTACTGCTGACCATGACGCATTACGTGCAAAGCGGTGTTTGGAAGTGCAACTTTTGTTCCGGTATTACCATCATCTATCCCATCCGTATCTTGAGTGCCTCTTGCCATTTCCAATCCATCTCAATTTCGTTTCTCTCACTTTAAATGTTTGCTTATAACGTAATCAGTTTGCTGGACAACGCAACCGCACACCACACCAACCACTGTAACCTTTTCATGGCTACTCTTGACATTTGAATTCCCTCCTTATCTATCTTACGCCGCATGTCCCCCAAAATTGGAGGCAAGTGCCTCCATCCCACTTAAGTGCGCTAGCCAACGCAAGAGCTACCATATCAAACTCCCCCCTCAGCCAGAGGGATTTTTTCATTCGGTAGCGCTTTCTCCCCACGCTGACAGGCTGACAAAAATCCTGGCATCATCGTCAGTCGCCGCGTGACGTAACAGGCCACGTGATTTTGTGGTCACGTAACATGACGTAGAGCGAATACTGGGCCGTGATTGGTGCTTACAAATGCGTTGACGACAGATCGAGCGCGGCCCGTCAGCATAAAGAAAAAAACGCTACCAGATTAAAAATTCACTCTCAGGCGGAGGTTTGATTTGGTAGACCCTGCGTTGGCGACTACGTTAGGCGGTATGGGGCACTTGCCCT